AAGAGTGTTTTTCAGTGTTTCTGTTATTTTTGATGCATTTAAGAATGTTTCCCCATTCTTAGTGGTTTCCTGGTTTGGCCTTTTTGCAGAGTAGCATGGCAGAAGGAACAACAATTTCTAAAAAATGGGGAAATGTGATTGCGAAATAATTAAAGGATTTCCTTTAGGTTTGGCCAGCTCCTTGGTTTCTTTTTTCACTTTGACACAGATGAACTAACTTGTGACACTAAAGATCCTGTGCTAAGTGGTACCCATTTAGGACAATTGTATGGACTCCCATGTTTGCAATACACAAAGGACAGAACCGAGGATACACTGGGCTTACCTTCATTGTTCCACCTTTGTTACACAAATAACTTGCAATGCTAAAATGACAACATTTCCATCCCTTTTGGGAAAAAAGTAAATCTAAGCCAGCTGTGACAATTAAGCACCTTTCACTGTTTATAGCATGATTACTTATCAGAAGCAAAGCTTGTAGTGGTCTCTTTAGAGCACATCAGCCACAATAACACTGCAATATATAGAATTTTGATCACCAGAAAAATACATACATAGCAAAAAAATGTATGGGACAGTTTACTGCAGTACTGGCCAAAGGGAGGCATATGATGATAATTTTCATTTTATACTATGCTTTGTCTAAGGATAATGGTGAAAGAATTATGCCTCCTAATGCTCCTTTCAAAGATGACATAGTTTTACTTATATTAAAGGTAGAGAAATGAGATGAGCTGTGAGTGGTTGGATCTTGTAAAAAATGAAGTTTTAAATATGTACTTCATTGTCTAAATGCTCACAGATGACTTGTCTCCCTATAATAACCATAGAAAATGTGTTGGCAGCATATCACAATTAATAATCCATACTCCTATTTATGTGCTCCAGGCAGTCCAAAATTCCCCAGATGTATTTCTTACCCAAGCTTATAACCAGATTCAAATCAGATCCTACATTTGTGCCAAAAATTGAATGGCAGTCATCTCACAGCAAATAATTCTAACTGACCCAAGAGTCCTAAATTTCTGAGTTTTCCCAGGGTGAAATTCACTTTAATCTCAAATTAATTTATTTTTCGTTCAGTCACCTGCAAAAGAATCCCATAATCTTGCAGTAGGGTTTGCACAGACAGTGGAGGGTACTGTACATGTTTAGCATTGTTGTAGGTTTTCCTTGGTCACCTAGATTGTGTAAGATCCTTTAACATTAATTGGAACAAGTTTTCTATCTAGGGTGATGTTGAATTTCTCTTTGAGGGTTTTTTCCACCTCTTCATCTTCAAGAGTTACAAATTCCACCAGATCCATGTTTTCCTTGTAGTTGTATGTGGTCTCAGTGAGTGTCCACCCAATGAGCGCTCGGAAGCCATCAGTGGTCTGGAGGGTGCAGATGGACTTCTTTGTAAAGAGGGAATCTGGAGAGGTCTGAAGGTATGTGCACTGGAAATGGAAGTCTTCCACTGTCCGTGGCTCAAGGCTGAACATATAAACTTTCCGACACTCTTTTTTCTCCAGAAGATCAGAATTGGAGAAATTTTGATTGGGGATATATTGTTTCCGTCTCAGTTTCTCAAGGTACCAGACAGCATTTTTCTCTGTGAAGCGAAAGACTCCAGGAGCCTGGGGCTGGTCTTTCCCTGACACAAGCTCCATTGGTTGCCACATCTGATAGGAAACCCCAAAGCCTCCATCAACGATATAGGCCTTGCCATCAATGACTACCTTTACCAGGAGATGGGTCATAATGGTGGCATATGCATTTTGATGTGGATTGAACACATATGCTCCCAGAAAGCTGGCATCATACCCCAGATGTTTCAGGACCCAGCCCAGCAGCTGGTTGTTCTCCATGCACCACCCACCACGCTTCTTCCGCACGATTTTGTTGTAAACATGCTCCAATTCCAAAGTAATTTTCTCCCCACAGTGGATGCTGAGGTTTTCAAAGGGAACAGCACGGATGTGGTGCTGGAATATATCAGTTAAGGTTTCCAGATCTTGTTTTTCAAGGGAGCCTTTATAGCCAGTCCTCGCAAAATACTCTTCAAGGTTCATGTCACCTGTAAAGGCAGGAATTGTGTTTTGGTTTGGTTTCTTTACTTCAGTGATTTATGATCCTGTGAAAAACTGCCCAGGCTCTGCCAGCAAAGATGCTTTAAACTACTGAACCTCATCAGAGCAGCTTTTATAGGTAACAAGTATTCATATCAACGGGTTCCCCTAGCAAAGAGCAGTGTACGTGAGGGTTTGCTTTTGTCTTAAGTCATCCCTATAGCAAACAGCTGATGCCATTTCAGCTTCATCTACAGTGGCTGCAAAACAAGAGTTTGCTGTATTTGCATATTTCACTATGTCAGTGAAAGGAGTGTCAGTGGGGGAAGCAATGTCATCTGCCAGTTGGAGGGAGGATAATTTGAATCAGGATTTCCATGTTCTTTTCATGAGTCTGTCACTGATCAACGTTACAGTAAACGAATTGCTTGGTCAGTATGCATCACTCTTCCACGACTTACAAAAAGTTGGAATGGTGCTCCTGCATGTTTTGTAAAGTGTCAAGTTTTATTCAGATAATTATAACTGAAAAAACTCTGACCTTTGCAAGAGTCACAGAGTCTTGTGTCTGCTCTGAGTGTTGTACAAACTTATTTTGATGTTGGAATTATGAATATGCATGGAGGCAAGTGACCTAAAAGACAAAGAGCACATCTCCATGCCCTCTTCCACCATGTGCCTCACAGGGTATGCTGAAAATGGACACAGGCTGCTTTCCATCTCTCTAGTCCTGGCCTTTGTCAAACTCACTTTGTCCCTTACAGAGTAGGTGTGACTGAGAATTATCCAAGCCTCTTACAGTGCATTCCTGGCCTGTCCTGCCTCCAGCACTGCCCACCTCCTGGCCTGCCTTGGTAGGACTCTTCATGAACACCCTCTGGATGAGGAACTGCTCAGCTTGTCTCCTGCCTTCTAATACCATGAAAAGCCACTCACAGTCATCTGGCTTTCATAGTGGCCCATCACAGTCTGCTGGCCACTGTTAATGAACTGGATGCTACGCAGATATCTGGAAGATACTGTTTGTAAAATATATTGTAGATCATCTGCTTGGGTATGGAGGTGGGCACAAAACATTTTGAAGGCTTGAGCCTTTGCAGAGAGAGCACTAAGCAGTCCAGAGTTACTGCAAAACATGAGTTTCATGGGCTTCTTGGAGCTTCTTGGAGCTCTTTGGTGCACACAGTAAGCTGAGGTTTAGACACCTATATTAATGACTCAGGAAGACTATTGTATTCAGATAAATTCAGCCATGAACTGCTGAATGTTTACTGCAAACTAGTATTTCTCATGATTCTCAGTGACAGATTTATGCATGGTATAGAGAGCAGCTGTCCAAAGTGAATGGAGAACACCATCAAAAACTACACATTATCTGCTACAGAAAGGAATTTAGCATCCATTGATATATAAGTGGATTTTGGAGGATATTGTCAATGTAATATTTGTTATGTATAACATAAGATTCGTGGCACTTTTTTGATTTACAGAATCCAAGTATATGCAGTCCTGCCCTCTCCTTTTGTGAATGATAAATAGATCACACCAGTATAAAGCTGGTTCTTGAGTTTATATTATTTGTAATTTCTCTCTGCAGCTGCATAATATGATTGATCAGCATTAGATCTGGACTGTAGGAGATGAAAGCTGCCGTTCTTTTGAATTGTGAGCAGATCAGATGAAAAGGCAGGTACTGAAAAAGTAGTCCCACAAATGTGACTATGATTTATGTAGAGAAAAACATCAGCAGAGCTTTAAAGAACTATTTATAAATGTGCAAATGAAGGTGTTCACACAAAAATATTCCTTACCAGGACTATACACACTATCAGCAATTCCACTGTTAAAATGTTATTTGTCTTCCTTTATCCTAATACATCAGCACATGGACTTTCTTTGCAATTTTCTTTAAAAGTTGTTTTTAAAGAACTGTAATTTTATTCTCATAAAGCAGAATCTATTGATTATGGGGATTGCTCTTTTGCTTCCCTTGCACTTGCAGTGTTTTAAAATAAAGTTAAAAATCTCAAGGCAGGACTTCCAACAGTTCTCAATTTATATCTGCTATCATATCTAAACAAAAGAATCTATCTCATAGTCAAGCAAATCTTCTCCTGAAGAGCAAAGGGTAGAAGAATTGAAATTGCATATCACTTTTTGCCCTCTTTAAGAGCCTCTGTTTAGCAAGTGATAGTTTAGCTCTATATCCACACGGTTTTAGAACATTTTTCCTAGAGGATATTGCTTACTTTATTGTCCATGAACTTTACCATCATAAAGAAACCGGGTTTTTTGTCTCTTTGTTTGGAGATTTTTAAGAACTTACCTCTTAAGAGATATCTTCTTATTTATTGAGGTATTCAACTTCTGGGTGCTTTATTACAGGGGCAGCAGCCAGTAAAGGCAGGAGTGGATACAATTGAGAGGGTTGTCTTTCTCTTTAAGCTCCACTGGCCCTTGCTCCTGCATATTAAATTCCAAGAAAGGGCAAAGTCCACCCAAAATGAATGCACATTTTTGGACTTCACTGATCCATGAGCAAATTAAACTTTGTTTCTTCTCTATTAGTAGATGTTTATGTCTTCCTCTGGTTAAGACCAGAATGAACTTGTTTTCCATGTAAAATAATTACAGTAGGCACTTTCAAATGGCTTTGTAACTTTTTAAAATGAAATTACTGTTATTTTGCAAACCAACAGTTTGTGGTGGAGGATGGTCATCTGCATCCTGGTGGGGGCACTGAATTGCCAAGGTATTGCAGGCTGTGTGCCCTCATGCTCCACAGATGCACAAAATAAGTCTTCTTTGTCCACAAAAGAACTTTTTTTATCTGTTCAACTCCTCAGCTGCAGCAAGTAGTTATTGTGGAACTGCCACAGCTAACAAATACCATGAAAAATATTTTTTTGAAGAAAATATTGCAATACCTCTCTAAAACTTGGTCTTCTACGTCTTCAAAGCATTGCAAAGTGTTCATTGCAAAGTGCTGTTCATTTAATTCTCTCCTTGTTAAGTATGTCTCTTCTGCATTTGATGGAGGTGGAATGTCAGAGAAGGTCCCTTTTGGGAAGGCAGTGAGCACATTAAACAGCATCTGAGAAAGCACCAGAGTTTTAGACACATCAGGTGTCCATGGGTCTGTGTGGTTGACTAAAACAAGCATCAAAGTATTTTCCTGGCCTGAAGACTGATGTTCTTCTGTCATCCTCTTTTATGGCACATCCTGTACAGTTCCTGCAACAAGCATCATATGGTAAAAGGCTTTCATGTTATGTATATCAGGCTGGGAAACCACACTGATGGCACGTCCAAACTTCCCAGTGTTTTCTTTTGCAGTATCAGTTTTTAAGGAGGCTTTTGTGCAGAATACTGCTTGTAATAAATAATGAAGAGTTTTATCTGTAACACTGTCATGCCATCTTGACATTACAGAAGTTTGGTCTCAAAAGTTTAGATTATAGTTTGCAAAGATTGTTCTAACTTTGATTATTTTTTTTTACAGTTTTGATACCAAAACTCTGATTTTTAAGGACTGTTGAGTCATCTCATCTTCTATAGATTTTGTTCCAAATTCAGAGACACAAAAAATCAGACTCAGAAAAATGGGATGCTCAAAATTATAGAGCTTTGGGTGGAGGGGAGTTAGGTGCCCTTGTATAATTAGCTCACTTTAACTCAGTTTCTTGTGTGGGAATAGGACTCAAGTCTTCCAATTTATCTCATCACAAGTTAATCAGCACCTAATGGTGGCTTGTTTTGAGAAAGTCTTAACCTTTCTTTTTTTCTACGAAGTCTTTGAAAGCCAAATTCAGCACAACTTTCAGACAGTTAAAGGAAGTGAATAATTTGTAAAACTCTGCTGAGAAGGTTGGAAATGATACCAAAAGAGGTTAGAGGTCTTCTGTGTAAAATGGTAGCACAGCTTCTCCTTCTGTATCGGTTTGGTCTCCTTTGCCACAAAATATATCTGCAATGAAATGAGTTCCAGAGGTGGAACAAAATGTTAAGGAATCAAAAAGCAATTTCCATATGAGCAAATCAGAGGTAGTAAGATGTCCTAGCTTCTAAAGAAGGAGAAGCTTAAGGAAAAATGTGCAATCCATATATGCAGTTAATTAGCAATGTACTTGAATTTACCAAGCTTTGTGACTAGCTCAGTTTTAGAAACAGATTAATCTAATCAATGTCAATTTTAGAACTTTTGTACTGGATATTTATGTGGCCATCTAGCACAGCATAAGAATTAGATCTTATCCACTATATTAGGTGGCAAGCCACGAACATTTACTGGTACAAGTTTGTTCTCCAGCACTATATTGAATTTATCTTTCAGTGTCTTCTCAACCTCTTCATCCGTAAGAGTTGTGATCTGTATCAGGTCAGTGTCTTCCATGTAGTTATATTTCATCTCAGAGAAGGTCCATCCAACTAAGGCACAGAGCCCTTCGGTGGTCTGGAGAGTGCAGATTGACTTCTTCCTCAGTATATTATCTGGAGACACTTGTAGGTATGCGTTTAGCTCCTGAAAGTCATTTATATGTCGTGGCTCAAGAGTGAATGTATATATTTTTCTGATATTCCCCAGTCCTGGAGTATAAGTGAAGTCAGTATCACTATGCTCAGGAATATAGTGCTTCCTTTTGACCTTCTCAAAGTACCAGGTGCCATTGTCTTCCATGAAGCGGAAGATGCCAGGGCCCTGGGGCTGATCCTTCCCAGAAACCAGCATCAATGGCTGCCACATCTGGTAGGCACCACCAAACCCAGCATCTGCTATGTAGGGAGTTCCCTTGATCACCACCTTTAGTAGGATATGATTTATCTCAGCAGTGTATGCCTTCTCTGCTGGTTCATAGCTATTTCCACCAAGAATACAGACGTCATACCCTAATTCTTGCAAGGCCCAAAATAAAAGGTGATTGCTTTCTAGGCACCATCCACCACGTTTTTTTCTCACAATCTTATTGTAAGTAGCTTGTAAATCCAGTTCAATGGTCTCTCCACAATGCATGCTGAGGTTCTCAAAAGGAATTGCCTGGATGTGATGCTGGAAGATGGCTGTTAAGGTTTGCAAGTCTGCATCCTTGTGGGGCTTGTTGTAAGATATTCTTGTGAAATACTCTTGAATGTTCATTTTGCCTGTGTGAGCAGAAAAATAGCCAATTACTGCTGTGCAGCTGTCAAGGGGTTCACTCCTATTTCTGTAGCACAGGTTAACCAGCTGCAAACGCAGCCTGGGCCTTTTTATGGAGGATTTGAAAGAAACTTGTGCCCTTGATAGGGGACAAAAGCAGGCTAGACCTGCCTGTGGCATCTGTATTTCTTAAAACAGAAACAAGGACAGGAGGAGGTGACAATAATGCTTAGTTTTCCTCTCTCAGGTGTTGCCTTCAAACCAGGTGGATGTCTTTCCTATCAGAAGACACAGCATTTGTCACAACAGCATCTCTGGCCACAGATGAGGGTCCCACATGACAAAACATTTCTAAAGCTGACAAACAACAGGTTTGCAGAAAAGCAGTTAGACCATACTGGCATACAAGTCATAGCAATTTCATACTGTTTCTTTTACTGTTCCAGGTCAGCAATTCTTTCCTTATCCCACAGGCAATTTAACCAGAAGGTTTTGCATTCATGGCTTCAGTTAACCAGAAGTAACATCTCAGTGTGTCACCATTTTAGATAGTCTTCCATGCAAAGTAGATTGTTGTTTGCTTAAGCTCTTTAATTTCCCTGAGGAGTTCAGACAGGGCTTTGACCCTGGCTGTGAAAGGAGGGAATTTTTCTAACCTAAGAGTCAGAGGATTTGATAACTACGACAAATACATACAAGACATTCATCAGCTTTTGGTTTCTTTGACCATCCTTTACAAAACAAAGGTTTTCATCCCAGCTCAAATTATTGGAAATATTTTGTGTCTTTATGTCTCTGATCCCCTTTCCTTTCATTATCAGAAAGACACTGCCATTGGTACTGTGTGGCCAAGACGCGAAAGGTTCCCTGTAACAATTCTAGTCAGCTCACTCATCCGGTCTCTGTAAGAATTTCTTTTGCTTTTAGTTTAGATTTAATCTGGCATGTTTTTTCCATGCAAGGGCATTTGTTTTCCAGAAGGATTCACAACCTGCTAAGGACTGTATTAATTTCCAAAAAGTCTGAGGACTTCCTGCCCCTTGAAATTGGTCACATGTTGATGAGATGGGAGAAACTCTCTCCCAGTGACTATTCTCAGCTTTGGTCCAACTGCTCCCCCCAGCAGTTTGATCCTAAACTGAGAGTTTGTGAAAATCCCACCTCTAATCCATAGGTGGAAATGCACCTAGTCCAGCAGGTAAACACATTGGATGACCTAATCTCTAGTCTTTAACCCCAATCTTGATGCCAGAAGCACAACTCACATGACTCAGTTGTATTGCTCCTGATCTGCACTGGTATCAGGATTCAGACTGGCGGATGCAAAACCACAAGAAAATGTGATAGAATAGAGGACTATCCCAATAAGGGAATGAGAAACAAACATTTTCATTTCAAAAGGACCCAAAGAGACTACATGAAAAAACAGAAATGTCTCTTTGATACTGCATTTTATGGGTTTTTTTCCATCCCTTATTTAGGACAAGGGCACTTATCTCTTGCAGGATCTCCTTGGAAACACTAGTAGAAAGCCATTCCTTCCCCAACACACAGAGCATGTGTACACTGCCAAGCTCATCCTGTGGTACTCTGCCTCGTTTTTCTTTCCATTCCCCCTTCTAGCAATTTTGCATAGCAAGATAGAAACATCTCTTCCCTGTGACAGTGTTGAGCTGAACCTCTGTGACCAAGAGGAGCCCAGGGTCTGGTGGGTCTGATACACTTAAAATTTGTCTTCAAGCAAAAACTGATCCATTCCTGCCCTGGAACAGCAGCAGAAGACCTGATGCCCTCCCTACAACCTGTGTCCTGGGTTTGGGTGTCCTCATCACCCTGGGAAGAGTGCAATGTATAACCAGCTCCCCTCTTCCAGCCATGAGCAACCTCCCCATGGGGTGCTGGCAATGAGGCTTTGAGAAAACATATTTTTGGAAATTCACAGCCCATGCCTCAGCTGTTCCCTTCTTTGGCCTCATCAGTTTAAAATCTGTGTCAGAGACAGCCTCATAGTGGCTGGCAAAATGTGCTCTGATCTCAATGAATACTTAAAGAGGTTTAAGTATCATAAAGCTGCACTACAACTTCATTGGCATTAGGGTGCACTAATATAAAACAATGTTTACTCCTTTGCCTTCCCAGAGGCAGATTTTCTTCTTGGCACAGTCATTCCCACTGCACAAGCAATGAGGCTGCAGCAGTGAGCAAGCCCTTGCTCAGGGGACAGTTCGTGTTCCAAAACTGAGCTGCCAAATATCCCAAGCCTCAGTCCGGATCTCAGCCTTGTTTACTTCTGCCCCCGCAGCAGCCCAGCTTTGCTCAGTGCTCGTGCAGCTTGGTGGGTAGTGAGATTCAGACATCAGTTCTGCCTGTCAGCAAGTGTCCCTGGGGATCACCGTGTCCTTTCATAAATAGAACTGACTATTAGGAACAGTTCTTCTCTGCTAAAAATCATGAGGGACTTGCAAGGCTGCATCTTCTTGCACATGCCTATACTATTTGTTTGACTTTAACCTACCCTGTGAGTCAGTAGCTGAGTTTCTCATACACTCTGGCTCAGCATAAAGGGGTTGGTTTCACTCTCAAGCACTTTTTGTACTTGGAAAATGCCCTTACAATGCGACGCATGCCCTGGTGTGCCTGGAATTTATGCTTCGTTAATATGCTTACAGTGCTCTGCACATGGTATGCAGACTTAGAGAGGGTGGGTTCTCCCATAACTGGCTGACCCAAAGCTGCAGGATAAAGTTAAAGATAAGGCACTCAGCACTTACCTCTCAAGCACTCAGCTCAGGCTTTCCGCCCTGGTTGCTCCAAAGTTCCCAGGAAGAGTTGCACAGGGAACTGCTGCTCTTAAAGGTCCAGGCTGCCTTT